GCTGCCTCCGTGACTTCCTTTGGCCAGTAGAATGTAGCAGAATTGTGCTACATTGTGCTAGTGCTGAGCCTGGGCCTCAAGAAGCCTGGCAGCTTCTGCTTCTACTTTCGGGATGCTTCCTCTCTGATGTGAACAAGCCTGGGCTAGCCTGCTGAAGAATGAGATCATGTCACAGATGGACCACTCATTCTAGCTGAAGCTATTTCAGACCAGCCCATAATCAGATAACCCCAAAATACATGACTCAGTTCTGCCAAGATTAGCAGGGCTACCTACCTTATCCACAGCTGTCTGTGTGTGCGTGAGGCAACCCAGCTAATATCAGAAAAACTGCCCAACTCATGCATAGACTCAGGAGCAATGATAAAATTATTTGAAGTCATTGAGTTTTGGGGTGTTTTGTTACTCAGTAATAACTAACTGATACACTTCCTCAAGCAGACAAAGAGCCCTGGTCATAGAACCTGAGTCATAGGTCTGGTCCTGTGCCTGTCAGTGATTTATGTGGGTGAGTCTCTTTGTCTCTCTGCCTTCATCTAGAAGGTAGTTCTGGAACACCGTGAGGAAGTATGTGGTTCCAATTCCAGCAGCTCAAGATGAGAAAAAGGGCATGGCTGCACTTGCACACAGTGGTTCCAGATCCCATCTTTCCTGCAGCAATACAGAAAGGTTCCTCAGAGGACCAGGAGTCTGTCAAGTAGAGGAAAGGAAGGTGGGTGCTCCTGGCAGAGGGAACGGCAAAGATATAAGATGTACAGGGAAGTGTGAAGATAAGAGAGAGGACACCAAAATTGCTAGGACCTTGCTTCACACAGAACAATTACTTCGCAAATGGCATCTTTGTTACTGCTGTGCAGAAGAGGCAGAGGCAAAGCTCTCCGCATGGCAAGTGCCAATTTGTAAGGGGCTGAGGAAGTTAGTCTTTATTTTCAGGACAATGAAGAGCCACAGCAGGTTGTAGGCATGGAGTAGATTGGTTTATCCGGAGCTTGGAAGGCTGGCTTGATGGGGCGTAAGTAGAGGCAGGGGGACCTGGGAAGAGGTGGTGGCATTTTTCTAGGTAACAGACAATGACGGCCAGAATCAGTAAAGAAGGTGGATGGACTGTGTGATGTCCATGGAAAGAAGTGCTAGAGTTTTATGACCTGTCAGATGCACTTAATAAGGTGGAAAGAAGAATTGACAATGACCACCTGTGTCAGGCTTGGGTGTCAGGCCTGTGTGGTCCACAGTTTTCTCTAGTTTCCTTAAACTTCAGAAGTGCAATGGACTGATGTGGGACAGCCCGACTACAGCCTTTATTTCCTCACTTCCTGGTGGTGGAGTCTTGAAGAAGTCACTTCCTTTCCCTGAGACTGGTCCTCATCTGTAAGTTGGAATGGAAAGTCTCCTAGGGGCTCAGAACACACATCACAAACTTGCCTTGAAGACTGCAGGAAACAGCTCCATCTTAGGTGGATAAAAACGTTACCCCAAAACTCTCTTGACCCAGGTATTGCTGAGGAATTCCCTCGATTGGAGTGATGTGGGTGAGAGAATGAGAGGATTTAGGGGTCCCCTAGCTGGCTGCCAGCCCACCCACTGCAGAATGATTTGGGGCATAGGTCCATTGCCCTGAAGAGCCTAGTTCTGAACTTAAGTCTAGAGGGTATGTGAGTGCATGTGCGCACAAACATGAGAACACCTATATACATTTGAACGAGTAGGAAATTTATCCCTTTCAAACCCCCCTCCAAATTATTTTGCTGCCTCAGGTGTGTGCTGTATTGGTGAAAGGCCCTCCCAGGAGGCACAAGTCCTGTCCTTGGTCTTCCCTCTGCTGGACTGTGTGGCTTTGCATAAAGACCTGTCCCTCTCTGGGCCTCAGTTTCTCCATCTCTAAAACAAGAGATTTAGTCCAAGTCAGAGGCTGCACACTAGTGGCACAAAAGCCAAGTTAAGCTTGTAGTCATGTTTTGCTCCATCCTCATGGTGTTTGTCAACATATTAAAACAGTAGGAGATCTTATTTTTAAAACCTGATGTTCAGCCTTTCTTGAAAAATCAGAGGGTTTGATTATGAGGAGTCCCACATTCCCATGTGGCTATAATGAGCTTGTGTTGAGCAGCTCACATCTCACTTTTGTTACCCATCTGGACCTTCCGATTTTTTTATTCAGCCTCTTAAAATTTTTGTCTTTTTAATATTAGTTTTATTGGAAAGCTACTTTAGGAATAAGCAAAGGGGGGAAAATAGCTTTGCCTAATACAGAACCAAATATTTATTACCATAAGCAGTGTTTGAAGAATCTTATCATTATGGAGAGAATAGTAATAATAGTAATAATAACAGTTAATAATAATATTTAGCATTCATCCATTGCTTTGAAACACAAAATGCTATACAATCATTACTGGGAGGACTCCCAAAAAGGCCCCGTGAGTTACGTTTTTTTTAATCCTACTTTTAGAGATGGAGAAACTGAGACTTAGAGTACAGCTGAGCTGGGCACCTCAGAGAGAGGATAGGCTCCAGGACTGGGAACTGACAGTGTGCTATGGGGACAGGTGACAGGCTACTAGCCAACCTGTTCATTCTTCTCACAAGCCTAGCTGACCTCATGGCAGGCCCACTCCTCATCTGGTTTGTAAGGTAGGGCATGGGGGTGACTTCTGAAATCACGTATATGTGATTAACATTAAATAGTCATCTGGAAGGATTGGTCAGAACCTCTCCCATTCTCAGGTGTCATGAGGCCAGGAGCAGAGGGACTGCGGGCCTCGGAAACCTCTTTGTTCATGGTAGACACTGCAAGTTTTCCAAGACAAAGATAAACTGTGATATGGAGGGCTTTGTAAAACTTCTGTACGTTTTCTCCTTACTTACCCATCCACCCACCTGCCCACCCATCCACTCGCACATTCATCCATCCATCCATCCATCCTTCCACTCATTCCTTCACATGCTACTCATCCTAACACCCAAGTAAAGAATAAAAAATGGTCCAAGGGAAGAAATCAACCAACTGTCCAGCAATTTTATTTGTCCATGCTGTGATCCAGGCCCAGTGCTGACATTGGGTGTCTGACAGCCTAGACACCAAGAGGGTCCCAGGGCTTGGGGCCTTGGGGCTGTAATCTCAGAGGTTCCTGAGTTTCACCAGTGTCTGTGGGCATGGAATTCAGAGATGCCATCAATAGGTGGCTCAGCACAATTGCCAAAGGTCCCCGCAATCTGCCTCACGCCACAAGTCCTTCCTCGCAAGCAGAGACACCTGGAAACCAGCAGATGCACAGGCATACAACTACATCCACACACCACCCAAAATTGCTCAGGCACACAGATGGAGAGACACAGAGAAAGCTGGGTACACATAGGAGTACACAAGGTACACACAAATTAGCACCCCAGAGGTATTTGAAGGTGCAAAGTCACATGACTACCCCAAGAACTCTTAAAGTACACACACACACACACATACACACACACGGGCATGCAAATAGACACAGAATACCCACAGCCTCCTGGAGGAAAGCTTTCTAGGTTGATAGGCACTGGATGTAGGTGGACCCAGAGCAGGGAGGCCTTATCCACACTTCTGACACTCTGCTCTGGGACTGTAACATCTAGGAAGCCCTGCTGGGCCTTGCTGCTGATAAGACCCCTCACCCCAGGTTTCTGCCCTATAACTGAAGACTGTGCCTCACCATACCCTCTTCCCCAGGACACATGGCAATGACAGGGGTATTCTGGTGAGGAGTGGGTTCTCTGAGCTGGCTTCTGCTGAGTGGCAATGACCAAGTCCCTATGATAGTCATGCAATGCTGAGGGCATGGACCTGCTCACCACATGGCTCATTACAAGGTCACCATTCAGTGACCTTGCTCCAAAGGCCTGAGCTTAACAAGTTGAGGCTGGGGACCTCAGGTAACACCGATGACACTACAGCCTAGGCATGCAGGGGCCACTTTGCCCACTTGGCCAATAGGACTAAAAACCAGCTATGTGAGGGTCCTCATGGGGCCTGACTCTATACCCAGGCCTTGCCCCTCCTTACCCCAAAGCAAGTATCAGAATTAAGAAGAAGCACAGGCCATGGAATGATACAGCCAGAGTTGATATAAATAAAATATTCATATAAAAATAGTCTCTTACAAAATATTCTCTCTTATCCAGTGGCTCTCTTTTCAAAAGACAGAAACTGCTGGAAGTTTTATTATCTTTCCTCTTCCTATATATTCCAAACTGGATTTTTCTAATGGTGAAGTTTGAATTGAGAAGGACTAAAGGATGGGAAACATATTCTGCAAAACATCTTCAAATCTGGATGGACCAGCTTAAATTTCTGGATAAGTAGCAGCAAACAGAAAAAAAAAATGTGTGTGTGTGTGTGTGTGTGTGTGTGTGTGTATCTATATATGCATAAAGGACATTTGCCCTTGTACTTAAACATCTAATGTTGCAAGAGGATATTTGCAAAATCAACTAGTAGAAATATCTGCATAAAGAAGAATTATGTACAGTTCTACTTGGCTCCTTGTCCTACTGACAAAATTATCCTGCAAAGAAAGCAAAGAGTCTACTTTGATTGCAGAAAACGGATCCCGATGAGGTGAAAGGATTCTTTTTAATTAAATAAATTAATATTATTTTTTATCAGAATAAATTGTTAAATATTGCTATGATGAGGCTTAAGGATCCAGGGTTTCTGCTGTGAAAGGCTCTGCTGCAGCCAAGGAGCGCCCCAGGCAGCATCTGGGGTAGGGCGGAGCAGCACTGTGTGTGGAGCAGAATCCTTAAGGGCTCTGGAGAGCTCTTTCCCACAGGTGCCTGCAGGAAACCCAAGAGAGGTGCCCCCACAGCAGAAAAGACAAGCTCAGCATTTCTGTAGTTCCCTGTGAAGATCTGGGAAGTGACCTGCCAGGATGATTTCAGCTTGGAAACTGGTCCTCCCCACTTTCTAACTTGCAGCTGGAGGTAGCCTGCCTGATCCAAGGGCGACATGTGGTGAAATCTCCAGCTCACTTGCACGTATACACTTCCGTGCGTTCACTGCAGGTGTTGCACTTGACATAGCAGCACCAGTGGAATTTGCAGTTGCACTGCCACACGCGGGCATACTGGTGGGTGTTGTAGCCACGGCCACAGCACATGAGGTCACAACCACTGGCTTGGGGGGCTGTCTTGTTGCAGGCGCGGCCCTGCGTGCCCACACTACCGGTCACTGGGTCCTCCTCACAGTAGTTGGGTGACTTCTCGATGTACACCAGGTCTGTGTCCATGGGCTTGCGGTATGACAGTGGCTTCTTGATCTTCAGGAAGGTGGGCCGCTTGTTGCGGCTAGCGCGTACAGGCTCCACGTGAACAGCCTCATTGTACTTGTCCTTGAGCACATAGCCCAGCTCCCGGAACTGTGGCAGTGTGGTCCAGCACGTCTTGGTGGTGCATGACCCTGACACGCCATGGCACTTACACTCCAGCTTCATGTTCTCTTCCAGGATCTGCAGGGGCGGGCAGAAAAGAGCATAGAACATGTCATTGCACATTAGGCAGTGTGCAGCACCCAGCCTGGCCCACCCTTTGCCCCACCTAGCTGAGTTTGGTTTTATTCTTTTCAGTGCAGGAAATTTAGACCTGGATTCAAATCCCTGTCATCTCCAACCCTTGTGTTGTCTTTCACCTGGAACTAACTTGCCTTCCTTGCCTCCCAATTCCTATGACATCGTTAGATTGGCTCTTAGATCAGTTCGAGTTAGTCCAGAACACACATAGGTTCTCTTAGGTCTGAACAGGTTTAAAATAATTTTTGAACCAACATTTAAAAACCAGGAGATTTTAACAGGCAGACTTCCACGGGTTTTTGTTGTTGTTGTTGTTGTTGTTTTGTTTGTTTGTTTTTGTGGCAAACAGAAAGGGTGTCTGGCAACTCTGGGGTGATATTTAAACTACTTAATGCCTAGTATAACTGGGCATTGACCTCCTAGCATAGAAGCTGGCCACAAATGCCAGCCTGGCAGTACTGTTATGTCCTGGCTCACCACAACTTCTGCTGGCATTGTCACATGGCAACAGTACTTGGATCAGTACCAGCACCTATCATCCTCATGGGTCAGTATCCGTTAATTTGCCCTAGTCCTCACTGCTTCTTATTGCCTCCCTGACCTAAAGCTATGGTTTTTCAGGTCATTTGCTTTGATTACTTATGACACCTGCCAGGCCTTGTGAACATCTAAATCTGGGAACCATGGCTCTGATTTAAGCTTCCCTGGCAGGTTTCCCTGACTCCCAGGCTAGATACTATGCTCCTTCTTTTGAATATCCCTTAGGCTTCCATCATCATTGCATGAGAGGCAACATTGTAAGGAAAGGGTGAGGGGAAGCATATATTCTGGACCCAGGGTTTAAATCCCAGATCTAACATGAACCTGCTGTGTGTCTTTAGGCAACTTACTTTTTTCCTCTGTACTGCAGTTTCTTTATATGCAGAATGGAGATAATGAGTAGTAATTAATTATAATCATACAATGAAATACTAGACAGCAGTAAAAATGAATGAACTACTAATACACACAAGAACAGATCTCTAAGGTATAATGCTGAGTGAAAAAAGTTGGATACAAAAGAAAACATACTGTATGATTCCATTGATATGAAGTTTCAGGACAGGCAAAATTAATAGTTGATTTTCATTCACTCTTTATTTACATATTTAGGCAATGGGCCAGAGATGACTCATGGGCCATATTTTGCTACTCCCAGCTTTGGAACACCCCAGCAATAAAAGAAGGCAACATTTACCACCCCTCCTCCCATTAGTACAGGATATTTAGGTTGTTTTCAGGTTAAAATTTTTTTTTTCTTTCCTTCCCTCA